GGACCTGATCAAGAAACCCTGGCCCTATAACCCAAGTCTAGTAGGATTCTTATTTAAGAACCCTAAGAAAGACCCAGGGGTTTCTTAATCAGGTTCCTAGGGTTTAGGGTTTCGGGGTTTCCTTGAGAGATCCTTACGGGGCCCCCCATTTGTCTATAAGGATGTCAGGGCCTGGGGTGGTGTGGGTTTTTTTTTAGGGCTTTCGGGGGTTTACAGCGAACGCCAGAAAGTTGGAACATGGATTTAGGATGATTACTGGCTCCTACTCTAGGGGTTTTGAGGTTTGGGTTTGGGTTTGGGTTCAGGGGTTTTGGGATTTTAGGGTTTCGTTGGGGGGGGCCTTCAGGGGAATCCTAAACGGTACTACAGTGGGTTTCACGGGTTGTGATTTGATTGTTGTCTTCGGAATTTGGGGCTTTAGGGTTCTAGGGCTAAGAGGTTTCGCATTTTGGGGCTTGGGCCTTTGGGTTTTGGGACTTTGCAGTTTTGGGGGTTCGGGCTTTCGGGTTTTGCGGTTCGGGGGTTAGGATTTAGCATCCTGGTAGGGTTTGCAGGGTGGTGGTGGGGGGGGGAAGGGGGGCGTCGGGCGTCGCTGGCCTCGCTGTCTCTAGGGTTTAGGGTTTAGGTCCCTCTTGGCCGTAAACAGGTCCCTGGAGTTGTTGAGCTGTCCTTGCCGTTGGCCTCTTGACGGCAGTGGCGATTTTTCTGTTTGCCTACCCTCGATTCTGATTGTAAGCACGAGATTGCGAGTTGTTCGGCAAGGTACTACTCGTGACGTTTCAACCTAGCATGCCTCGTAGGCATATCACGAGCCCCTCAACGTTGAACTCCAAGGAAAGCTCTGTAAAACACAACATCCAGCCCCAAGTCGTAGTCACTGCAGCCTCGCTCTGCGCAGAGGACGCTTCCGGTGCTCTTCACCTATTGGCGCGTCATGTGCCGTGGATGCCAACATCTGTCGAGCAAAAGTGTGAAACTACGCAAAACATGCTTCAACCCTAACCCTTGATCCTAGACCATAAGCCAAACCTTATAAGCTTGTAGATAGAAGAGAGATTTGGCGAGTCTCCGTCGACCTCCGTACCTTCATGAGATGCCCGGACCTGCAATCTAGTAACATAGAGGCTTTCCACCCTCTTCCACAGGATCATTTTGAAATCCCTCGCGCTGGTTTGGGTTTAATTAAAATGTGTGACCTGAACTTAAAAAAAATCTGGGTCTGTATTATAGGTTTCTTTATATGAGCCCTAATTTTAGGGATATAGAGCCACGGTTTCTGAGCGATTTGGGGTTTGGGGTTTAGGGTTGAAGGTTTAGGGTTTCGGGTTTAGGGTTTAGGGGGTTCCTGCATTAGGGTTTTGGGGTTTAGGGGCCCCCCCACGGAGTAGAGAATTAAGAGTATGAGAAATCCTTGACAGACGGATGACCCATTCCAGTGCAAATTTCAAACAAAAAGGACCTTATGTAGGACCATGCGTTGTTCTTCGAGTTCACTGTACACACTACACACCAAAACTGTGAATCCCCTAAACATTGAACCCCTAACTCGTAAACACCCTCAACCGACACCCTCTAAACCCTAAGCCCCAAACTCGACAACCCGCCACCCTAAACACTAAGACCCTAAACCCTAAACACTAAAACCAAAGCTGAATGACAGATTGAGGTTCTTCTTTTGGTTCGGCGGCCGCTACGAGGAGGTCGGGTTTTGGAGTTTGGGATCAGTTTCTCGTTGTTTTGGGCTTAGGGCTTCGAGGGTTTAGGGCTTTGTCGGTCGGTTTTTTGGGTTTAGGGCTTCCGCTGATGGGTTTTTTAGGGTTGGGGCTTTGTTGGGCGTTTTTTAGGAGTTTAGGGTGCAGAGTTTTGGTGCTACGTGTATCTCGACCTGCCAAAGCACATGGCTTCCTTGACTCAAGTCAGACGACTCGGATGGCAAGCGCATCTAAGCGCTCCTTGCTGCGGACCTGAAGCCAACAGCCCTTAAAACCCAAACAAGAAGAGGGTAGGGTTCAGGGTTTTAAGCCCTATAAGCCCTAAACCCAAAAGCCGTAGACCTTGAAGCCCAAGCCCCAGAAGCCCTAAACCCAGGATCCCCAGAAAGAAAACCCCTACTCACGTTTAGGGTTTAAGGCTTCGGGTTTAGGGCTTCGGGTTTGGGGTTTAGAGCTTAGGGTTTAGGGCTTAGGGTTTAGGGTTTAGTGCTCAGGACCCTCCACCCTTGCTCGGAAACCTCGAAAAACACTGCGGCAACACCTAAAGCCGCTTCTCGAACCCGCTTCGACCTGCGCTAGATCCCCGAAGCCTGACAGAAATGTGTGTTTAACCTTTTCGAAAGCCCTTGTAAACCCTTCACAAGAGCCTTATAGGGGGGGCTTTGCCTTAACTGCATCTTTCAAAGTCTCATGCAGCCCTTGTACTATCAATCCTAATCACGGGAGCCTCTTGGAAGGGATTTTACCCTACATCTCTTCCTACCCATAGGCTCAATAGTAGTTCCTTTTTATGGTTTATATATAGAATCCTATGAGGAAATCCCAAAAAGGAACTACTTCGGGGCCTATGGGTAGTCTAGGAGCAGGAGGTTCGCGTCTGTACATCGCGCACCATCCAACCCTCAAATCGCTGCCCTGTCACGAGCAACAGGAAGGCACTTTGTGAAGCGGCTCAGGTACATTGCCTCATTCTACTTCTGCAGTTACACGATGACGTCTGTGGGGTATGGCGACTTCGGGCCAAGGAATATTCTGGAGAGAGTTGTCTGCACCGTCATTGTCATGGTCTCTGGCTTGCTGTGGGCCTACGTCCTGGGACAGGTTTGCGCTATCGTGGCAGACATAAATGCCGAGAGCCAGGGTTTCAAGCAGAAGATGCACCATCTGAACCAAATGATGCACACCCAATCCATCCCGCAAGAGCTGCAGCGCCGCGTTCGGAGCTTCTTCCTGCACAACAGGACGGCAGATAGATCCATTGCAAGCTTTTAAAGATTCTCACTTCCTTTTCCCCTCTCTCTTGTTGCGTAGGACCCTCCAAACTCCCCTAACTTACCCTCAAGACCGTAACCCCTCAGTATGCCCGATCTTGCAGGAATCAGGCGCTCTTCGTCACGCAGCAGCAGCTCCTGGAAAACATGAGTCCACAGTTGCAGGCGGGAGCTGAATGAAGGTGGCTTTCATCTTCAAAGTCTCAGAAGATGAGGGCCCCTGTTCCAACCAATGCCCTTTTGTGATGGATCGTCGGCTTGTTCTGGGCTTCCACCAGAGAAAAGTTCAAGCGTGTTTAGGCCCAGTGTTCAGTAGGTTCCCTGTCGAAAGGTCTTAAAGCTGAGGGAACCTATGCAAACAATGTATTCCCCATGTCTTCTTCCAGACTCCAAAAGTTGGATGCAGGCAGAAGTCTGCACCGCTCTGACATTACCCTGGCTGGAGAAGGCAAGAAGACACAAATCACTGCTTTCAGCTATCTCAATCGCCCCATGCGTAGAGTTAGAACCTCCGTTGTAGCTCGATTTCCTTTCTTGTTAGCCAAGGTCATTTATCGGGATCCGGAATCCTTTAGCCAACGACTAGTTAACAAAAAGGGAAGCACTGGAGAGTATAGGTGGCGCTTGCATGCGGCAGGAGCTTGGGATTTCAGGTCGACCAGGGTAACCGGGATCATGCAAACCCAACAGAGCCTAGACGCCTGAGTAGGCAAGAATTGGGCCCCAGGCAATCGGTTATGTCATATGTGTCATATGTGCCTCAAGCAATGTCGTAGCCTGAAGAGGCATGGGGATTGAACATGCACCACCTAGGAACCTAGGATCCAATCAGGCCCTGTTGAACATTTAGGATCCACAAATAGGCCATTCGCCTTAACCCTAAACCCTAGTTGAACATTTAGGATCCACAAGTAGGGCCCTAAAACCCTAAACCCTAACGAGCTGAAGAACTCCATGATCTCATCCAAAAACGCCTCCCCGTCGTATTTTCGTGTGTTGAGGCTTATTGAGTCTCATAACGTGAGGGTTTAGGGTTCCTGGGTTAGGTTTTGGGGTTGTTCAGTAGACAGGGGTACCTGCAACACGTTCTGGATCTGTGGTTTAGGTGTCTACAGATGGAGTCGTCAGGCCTTCTTATTCACGGTCATGTGCTTTTCTGGTTTGGTAATGCATTCAGCAATGGCTTTCACAATGCTTGGTCTCATTTCCACAGCATTTGCTCCATAGTTTTCTTGTGTGATGCAGTTCCTGGTATGTGGCACGAGCGCTTGAAACGACTGGCATGAGTTCCAGGGGTTGCGAGGGTTCGTCTCTGCTTGGGCTCACTTTCTGCCCAGAGGGCTAAAAAAAAGGCTTTGGGGTTTGTGGTTTATGTGTCAAGGCTTGAACGGTGTGGGGTTTCCACGATTTCAAACCTTACATAACCTTACCTTCACTTGGCCGCAGGTGACCTTCTTCGGGCAGTTCATGCGCTTGATCCAAACCTTGGAGACCCGTGGAGTCTAGGCTGCGTTGGCTTTGAGTTCGGCTTCAGAGTTCTGGGGGGGGGGGGTGTAGGGTTTTAGGGTTCCTTTNNTTTAAAGGGTTTAGGGCTTTAGGGTCTTAGGGTTTAGGGTTTTTAGGGGGGGGGGGTAGGGTTTTGGGGGGGTTGGGGAATTAGGGCTCCAGTGGGCTGAGCTGTGTCAGGGGCACTTGCTTCGGATTAGTGCTGTCGACTGCCTTGGGCGATTCACATAATAATGCGACACACCAGCAATCTTCCTGCGCGGCGAACCTCGCAAGTAGAACCCTCAGAGAGAACATGCCCCAACCTCCCAGGTGCCTACTAAAAAGGGCCCTAGGGGCTCTAGTACCCTATATGGTAGGTACCTGGGGGTTAGGGATGCTTTGGAGGAGTCCACACAATGCGCTACCGCGCCTGCATCGCGGATATCTCTCGACAGCTCTTGCCCGTGGCTTTCGCGCAGCAGGAGCCTGGCTTAGGCTTAAGCACTCCTTCTCGTAGACATCTGAACATCGTGGGATGCAACTGCCGCAGTCCTATGCGCTGCGAATCAAACAGTTTTACTATGCAGACACTCCCGCTGCCATCCAGAGACGATGCCTCTCATGTTGGAGTCCCTGTGCAGGGGTGGGGACCAGGATGCTGTATACCCAATACTGCTTTGGAGTTGCTTTTGATAAGAAAAGCATAAGATATCCCAAAACGCTATTGGCACTCCAGGAAGCTGCAGCTCTTGTATTCCCCAAGTGCCCCTAGTGGGATGCAAAGACTGGACAGATGAGGTCGTGAGTTTCTCTGAGAGCCTATGACAGCTTATGACCCCCATGATTTCTATCTGCAACTTCCCCAAAGGAACCTTCCTCTGTCATAAAGCCGTCAGACCAAAGCTTTCTCTGTGCTACCCGCAGGAGAGTTTCGATAACGTGCAGGAGCTGGGACAGTGCTCGGAATTGAGTTCTTCAGGATGTCGATATGGATCCCTTACAGATCTATCTGGAGCACCCGTACTAAGAATAGCATCTAAACCTTGCTCGTGTGAACCAGCAGGCTGAGTAGAGGATACGAGTGGAGTGATCGGGCCCCCTGCACAACTCAGTACTGTCATAGCTCACAGCTCAAACTCTAGAGCCCGGGAGTTTGGCGAAAGCCCTAAGAACTCTCTCAACCCGATCCTAAACCCCGCAAAGGAATCCTGATGATAGTAAGCCCTTAAGGAACCCTTACAGCAATGCTGAAAGACGCCCTTAGTCAGCAGGAGCTTTTCATCCTTTCGAAGGGCTTGGTCGCCCTGAACAGCAGCTGAATCTGCAAGATAATTTCGGGGCCTTCGGAAAAATTGCTAGTACTGGTCCCTTCTAAGCAAATTGGAGTATAATGCGGCCTGCAGCGGCAGTGTGAGCCTCAAGGCCCGACGATGCAAATAATCTCAACCAGTAGGGTTGCTTGGTCAAGTTGACTGTCCGGCCTTTTTTTCTCTCTTTCGGTTGGGCTTCCGAATAGGCTTAAACCGAGCCCCGCAGAAGCATCTTCTGTAACTTCGAAAAGGAGGGACCAAGTTCAGAGTGCAGGGGTTTACGGATAATTAGGGGCCTAGGTTTACGCAGGAACATGGCCAGTGATGATGGGCATCAAAGCGTCAACAAGAAACATGTCAAAACAGGACTAGCGCTGGCCTGATTGTCTTATCCTTGAGGTCATACCACACCCGTAGCAATGCAAGCAAATTTGGCAAACGCGGACCCGGCAGGAGTGCTAGCAACCTGCATGAAATGGCAGCCAACCTTCCACAATAGTAACTGGAGGGGCAATATCACATCATGCCCACATCATGTCGCTCCAAAGTTCGCATCGTCCGCACAAACCTCGAAGGTGAAGGGTGCGCTTGGAGGTTCAGGAGTCATCTTGCGAAGCCGGAAGAGCATTGAGCCTATAACGTCTGATTCGTTCGGTGGCTGAGAAACCTTGAAACTCCAAAACCGCCCGACATGGTGAAGTCTCATCAAAAAAAGCCCTACTGTATTCTCTGGAATCCCTGTTGACAAACCCCTGCAATCTCTGTTAAAGAGCCGCCGGCAACTTCCTGAGAATGGACAGCTCAAGCCATCACCAAGTCCGTCCCAAAGTCCTACTATTCTAAGGCCTTAAGGCTTTGAAAAGGGTATCTTAGGGTTTATCGGGTCTTGTCTATTTTCCCATCTCCCCTGTAGCTACGACTGCTAGAGAGCCTCGCTACGAGCCCGAACCATGGAAGCGATGGGACCAGTCCAACCTCTCAAGTCTTTTTCTGCCAAGTCAAGGACAGCTGTGTACTCCCGTAGTAGGCATCAGCTATGTCTGCATAGAATCGGACTCATGGCTCACGTTCGCTGGCTTATCTGGCTTGGTGCTTCAGCTGCGGAAAATGTGCCCGAGCATCCCATGCCTTCCGACTTTCGTCCCTCTCGTCCGGACCTTTTACTCCCGAACTACGACTGCCGTGACACCTTAGAGCGTGATCCCGAGAATCTGTTGACTTCATGGACGGAGACGCAGGCAGTGTATCTGATCACTGGGTCGCCCCGAGCTTCGGGCCCTGGAGAAGCGGAAGAAGATGATGCGATCTGGTTCAACTATGTCACTGCTTTTCAGGAGCATATTCACCAGGACTTGGAAGCAGACTGTCCTTTTGCATTCTTTGTCTTGAAACTCTGCCTTTGGTTCTCTTGCCGGCTTCTTCTGGAGCACCATGAAGCCTGTGCAGCTCATGGAGCATCTGCGCCAATGCTGGGAAGAGATCTGCTTGCTGCAGGCTATTACGGGCTGAGGAACTGGGAAACCCTCGGCGTTTTCCTCAACTCCAGGTGGGCGCGGCCTTTCTGCAAATGGGTACATGGAGCTCTTGCATTGGCTCCGAAGTTGGGGCTGGTTTCAGAGGACCTCGTTACAATCTCCAGCTGTCCTGTGCCACGGAGTGGCGAGTGGCTCTCTGACTGGAACTGGCAGGAGCACCTGCACCTGCTCTTGTCGGATTCAGTCGAGGCAGCAGCCTTGACCATGAACCCAAGCTCTGTCATGAACTGGGAGGTAAAGGTCACGGAGTGCCCTTTGGGACTGCTAAACATCCTACTCCATCAGATCTTGCTTTGCATGACTGGAATTTCCGAGATGGTACCCTACCTGTCGGAGCAGCTGACCTTGCTGCTCACCTTGGTCGAAACCGAACTCCGGGAAGCAGGCATCGAAGTCCTCCCGGTGCTGATGGCCACCCGTTGGCCCATGTTGAGGATGCTGACACACGTGGCGGTGAACGTGCAACGTAGGAATGTCACCATCGATCATGTGCCTGGAGGGGTTATATATCAATGTACCCTATGCGTTCTCTTGGTTTTTTCCCTGTATCCGCGTAGAAAAGTATGTTCCCCAAAAGAAAGGACCACCTAGGTGCTGGTGCCGCACTACCAGACGAAGCCCTACGTCCTGGATTTTCATCCCCACGAGCTTCTGTATCCGGAGGCAGACTCAACCCTCAACCTTATGACCCCTATCAGAAAGCCTTATATAAAAGAATGAAGCATAAGAAACCCTATAGAGTCTATGGAGAGCCCCCAAGAAGACCCGAGTGACAAGCGCTTTAATCCCTTGTGAGTAAATGCCATGAGCCATATCATCCCTGTGATAGGCCCCATAAGCCCAAAAAGAAGACACCCTAAAAAATCCCGGTCTTACACCCAACACTTAGCCCCATAACCCAAAAGAAGACACCCTACAAGTCCCGATCTTACACCCAACACTTCGCCTTTTCAATGAACCCTAGAATCCCTCAACCCCAAAGAGGCCGAACGACTACAACTCCCCGCGGGTCGCTCGAGCCAGAGCCTCCGATTTCGACGCCATGGCTTGGGGGTAAGCAAAGTCTACCGAAGGACCTTACAGTTCTTGGAATCGACTCTTTCGTTAGAGCCAAGTGAGATGCAGCCGAAGAGCCCGATTATTTTCACCATGATCTTCGGTGAAAGGCTGGCCAAATACTTGCCGAAGTGGCTGCTGCGTGTGGAAGCCTTCGGACACCTCTCAAAGACCCTGGTATTCTGCTTGGATTCTGCCAGCATGGAGGCCTGCCGCGCGGCGCACGCACATCAAGGATGCGTCCAGGGAAGCCTTCGGACCGCCTCCAACAAGTTCCACATGATGTCCGTGATCTTGAACTCAGGTTTCGATGTTCTGTACCTGGACTTCGACCTAGTCTTGTTGCAAGACCCTTTGCCGAGCATCCTGAGACACGCCGAGGAGGCCGAACTGTTGCTGACCCGAGATTTCGGCGGCGAGTGCATCAATATTGGGGTTGTCTACATGGCGTCGCACCCTAGCACCTCCTTGTTCGTGCAGGGGCTCATTCGTTGGCTTTGGAACCACCCGTACGAGTTTTGCCAGAAAGCATTTGCTGGCATGATGGGCCTGGAGGACGTCACTTGGAACGACCAATATGGAGATCCGGTGCGCTCCGTTCCGCGATGGGGCTTTCTGGACTCCGCAAACAGCTTTGCAACCAGCACAGTTTACGATGCAAGCTTGCAGGGCTGGACAGGAGACCTGCAGAAGATCCTCATCTACCACTTTCTGGATGGGCTTGGCGCTGTGGATCCGGAACTGGCGGTTACCGGCGAGTATACAGACTTGTTCACTCTGTTTTACCAGAACCCTTTGCTGAATCTTGGGGATACCCAAACGCCGCTCTACGAGCAAGATGCAAGCGTCCGGAAGCAACTCTTATTTACCCGACAACCGACACCTCCGTCACAACTGCAGGCCTGCGGCCACTACGAAACCTCTGCCTACCCAGCCTGGAAAAAGCGCCAGCGCGAGAAGCTCCAGACACGGCTGGACATCCGACCCGTCCAGCTGCATTGACCCACGAGCGACAAAAACATCAGGGCGTTGCACGGCTCCGGAGGGCCTTTTTTTGTCTCATTTTGTGGACATGATTTTGCAGCGACCTCTCGACATCCTAAGCCTAGCCAGAGCCTAGAGAGACCCGACAGTCCGAGGCAGGGTGGAAGGCGGCGGAGCAGTCTGGGGCGAAGATTTCGTCCTCTCGGATACGTCTTTGATAAGACCCGTGGCAGGCTCGACGGTCGCAGGAGCTGCTGAGTTGACCGCGGCTTGGGATTCTGGGATTTATTACTCTAGCAGGGTTTGTAGGCTGGAGGAGGTCGTGGGCTGCGGAACTTTGGGCCACAGTCTTCAACATGTTCAATGCCACAGCGGGTTAGCAGGTAGTCGGGAATCTGCTCGCTAACATGTAGATCTCTTCCGGAAAGGGAAGTTGGAAAAAGCTTGCCCTGAACATAAGACAGTCATTGCTCCATATATGGATGAGGTTCGGGTCCCGCTTAGGGTCCTCTTTGTGAAGGCGCCGTGCTATTTTGGAGGCCTCAAAAGGGAGCCTAACTTTGCGAACTACCCATGAATTCCGATGTCACCAGCTCTAGCTCTCCACCCCTACTCCGGCGCCACATGTGTTCGGTTGCAGCCTTGATCCAATCATGAAGAGTGTCGCTATTACAACTTGCCCCAGGAAGGTGCCGGTAAGGCTCCGACTTCTGCCACGTATTTCCTAGTGACTCGTGGTTGTTCTTGTTTGTCTTCAAGAGCCTTCTACTTAACGCTTATCCTCTAAGTGTGCGTCAATGTTCGTTTCTGACCTTAAACAAAAAAACCCTCAACCCTAATGGCCTCAGAGCGACGAGAGATCGGCTCACCGGAGGCTATGCTCTGACGTACATCGAGGTGTTGATGCTCACACGTGAGCGTTTTATGGACGTCATCGAGCGACGGAAGCTCGCAAGCAAAGCTTGTGCTCCGTTCCATTCAGGCGTAGATTTAGAGAAGTACGTTGGAACCTCACCCAGAAACCCACCCGACGGCACCTCGACACGTGCAAGGAAGCTCACATGCCCTCAGCTCTCGATGATCGTGCGTCGCTACTGCGTGCGTGTGGCCGTGCCTTGGGCTGCTGGTGCACAGGGCTTGGAGGTGTTTGCCGGGCTTGTGAAGTGAGATGGTGAGAGATCAGGGTTTAAAGAGCTGGAATAGGGTGTCCGAAAGCAGTGCATGGCTTTTCGGACTGTTTTCCAACAATCTTTGTCCAGCACCGGGTCCCAGCGGCGGATGCCAGCATCCGCATGCCGACATAGGGAGGCACAGAGAGAGAGTCTTTGTCTGGAGCGTTGTGCCATTGTCGGGCTTGCCGATAAGATCTTTTCGATCTTTTCGTACTGTCGCCAGAGCAGCGTTTATGGATCTCCCTGGCGAATCAAAGCCCGTAACCTCGATGAACCCTCTTAACTCTCCATGATTACACAACAAGTATTATATACTTGTTTATGCTAATGCACTACCAATTGACCGAATAATTAGTTCTTACATAGGCGTGTACCATGCAGCATTTCTCACAATTTGCATCTTCAAGGTTCCTGCGGGCGGAAACTAAACTGGAAGCCTCAATCCCGGCCTCCCCGAATCCCTGAAGCCTCAAAGCAGGAAGCCCGAAAGCTCCCAAAAGTCAAATTCCCTCAAAGGCCCATGTAGCCATGTGGCATCTATTTTGCCCCCCCCTAAACCCTGAACCTTAAAACCACTCACCCCATTCAGTGATTCAGGCCGTAGCTCCTTCTCCATAGGGTTTAGGGTTCCTGGTCCGGGGTTTAGGGTTTTAGGTTCATGGACCATAAAATAAAAGGAATCCTGCCTGTTGAAGAACTTGTACAACCTGTACCAGGAAGCTACATATGGACCTTACAGGTTCCAATTGAAACTGCTAAACAGTCTATCTAATAGAGTTTATGATACATGGCTTAAGACTTACATGATACAGAACAGATGATATGAAACCTGTGGTATGTCTCATACATGATGTAAACGAAATACATGATATATATATATATATATATAGAGATGATATGTGTGTATATATATATAGCATAGACAGAGAGAGAAATAATATCACACATGTGTACATATATACATACATACATACACACATTATATATATATGTCAAAAACTCTAACAATTTAAGATATAACACATATTAGATAAGATATAGCCGATATAGCGCATCAGCTGTTAGGAAACATATGTCATGTACACTATACTCAGGTTTTCCGGGGGATCCTCCGGGAAGCACGAAGTCGCGCACGGGAGGGCAGTTTTGGGGTTTAGGGTTAGGGTGCAGGAGGTATTCATTGTAGTTCCTTTTCTGCCAAAAAGGAACTACAATGGAGACTGCAGCTAGGGTGTGGGAGGTTAAGGGGTTGAGGGAGTTAGGGCTTAACGGCTTTTGGGATTTCGGGTTGATGGGACTCAGGGTTGTAAGGGGCTTCGGGTTTTTGGGGGCCCAGATGCCACAATGACAAGAATCAAGGATCTCCCGAAAAGTTTCTGAAGCTCCCTTCAGAAGGTGCCCGTGCTCGCCGGGCTGAGGCTCGGAGCACTCTAGCGCGAGGGATGTGAACAAAGGACGTACCTTTGGCCTCAAGATTCAAGATTCAGCGATGCAGCCAAACATCATGAAACAAAGGTTTCAGGCTCTGTTGTTAAACTGTATAAATGCAAAGTTAAGAAGAGCTGAAGACAAAGACCACCATCGGAAGCCACGTGCTGATGAAATGTGTCTCTGTCTGTGTCTCTGTGTCTCTGTGTGTGTGTGTGTTTTTTGTTTTGGTTTTTGTGTGTGTGTGTGTTTCTTTGCGTGTCCCGTGCCGTGGGCTTTCTTGTGTGTCGGTCCTTTGGGACTTGGCGGCGGCCAGTCGAATCGCACGAATCTTCGCTTTTGTTCCAGGCTAAGGTGTCAGGCTCGGGCGTTGGTTCCGGATGATTTTGTGTCGAAATTGGTGGCAGGGACCGGCCGCCAAGGCTTACTTACATCCCCGGCCCTGGCTTTGCCATATGTTTATCCTTTTCTGGGAGTTGCACTGTCGCTTGGGGGCACAACGCCGCCATCCAAGGAAGCAGAAGCAGAATCTGAGACGGCTCGCTGCGACGGCTCAGCCTGCACAGGCTCCCTCCGTGCCCTGGACTGTTAGAGTTTCGTGCTTTTCTGCGATGCTGGTTTCGGTCCAGCATTCCATGGTTGCTAGGTTTCGGGACACATACATGCATCTGTGCATGCCTGTGTGCGTCTCCGTGTCTGTGCGGAGCTCTGCGCCATCATCACAACTGCTAATGCCACTCCTATACCTGTTCCGAATATTGTTGCTAATGCTGCAACGCTGCTGCTGCAGCTGGTGCTGATGCTGCTGCTACTGCAGCTGCTGCCGCTGCTGCTCCTAATTCTACTCCTAACCCCACTACTGCGACGACGACTACCAGTGCCACTGTCACCGCCACCGCCACCTACTACTCCTACTACTCCTACTACTACAACAACTACTACTACTACTACTACTACTTCTTCTTCTACTACTACTACTACTACGAC